TGTGACCATTCCAACAACGCAAGGATAATTTGCTTTGTTTATGCTATCATACACAGAAGGATAATGGTGGCTGGGTGAGTTGCCTTTGCTCGTACCAATGAGTTTTCAAACTTTTATATTTATATATATTTATATGTATGTATATATATATATATATATATATATATATATATATATATATATATATATATATATATATATATATATATATATATATATATGTATATATATATATATATATATATATGTATATATATATATAATATATATATATATATATATATATAATATATATATATGTATATATATATATATAATATATATATATGTATATATATATATATAATATATATATATGTATATATATATATATAATATATATATATGTATATATATATATATAATATATATATATGTATATATATATATATATATATATATATATATATATATATATATATATATATATATATATATATAATTTTACTTAGATGATTATACTTTGGTTTTGTTGTGTTTAATTAAGACATGCTAAAGTTTTGAGTATTATGGTAATGTCAACCATAAAATGCAAAACACATCACAGATATTTTGTTGCCTAATTTTTTCTAAGGCATTATTTGTCACTAGAGTATTTTCTTATCAGCTTATATGCATGGCATAAAAGTTCAGATTTATATGCTTTTTACCCCTCAAAAAAAATATATATATATATTTTAGTGCATTTTTTTTTTCTTCAGAGAGAGCATGTTAAATTGTAATTACTTTTATATAGCTCATGCTGCTTGCTTTGCTATCTAGACTGTTGTTAGTCTAGGTCATATTTATATTTCATTTGACTGGCTTATTTTTTTTTATACTTTTGTAGCACATTCCATCTTCAGTTTAACTACATTCATTCAAAGCAGATAGAACTGCTGTAAATCATTTGAGTCTACAAAGTGGGTTATTCACTGCATTTATAAAATCATAATCATTAGTACTTGTTTTCAAGGTATGAAGTAGATAAGATTAATTTGAGACTGGATAGAGCAAGATATACAGCCACTGTGTTTTTGCTCTATGAAAATGTTAAATTTCACTTAAGTAGAAACCAAGTATTTGAGTAGTTTTTAATAGGGTAATTTCTTTGACAGTTTTGTATTGTTGAGAGTTACAGTACCTGTGATACTAAAAAAAAAGAAAAGAAAAAGAAAAAAAAATATATTAACAATTATTCAGTTTTAGTCTACAGTAAATTCAGAATAATTTGATACGGTTCAAGTCTTGTAATCTTTCCCCTTCCTCTCTTTCTCTCCTCTTCTCTCCTACCTCCCTTTCTCATTTATAGTCAGATGTGTTATTGTCCTAGTCTGTCTTATATTTGCAAGAAAAAAATAATCAGGGTAAAATCCAGTGAAGCTAATCCTCCTTTTTCTTAACAGCAAGCCCCTGTGAGCAAGCCAGAGGGCAGGACCACAGCCACCTTGATCCCTGGTGATGGTGTGGGGCCTGAGCTGTGCCAGGTCGTCCTCGATGTCTTCCAGAATGCTGGCGTGCCGGTGGATTTTGAGGAGCACTACCTTACTGAGCTTTATGCCAGAAGGTCGGAGAGCCTTGATGATGTAGTGGATAGCATCAAGCGGAACCGCCTCTGCCTCAAGGGTATTCTGGCCACCCCCGACCACAGCTCCGATGGTGAGCTCAAGACTCTTAACATGAAGCTCAGGTAAGGGCATACAAGATTTGAGAGCCTATTGGGATTGTATGTGTTACTGTAGCTAGAAGTGATTCATATAATGATTTTATTTTCTATTTAGTGTTGTAATTTGTGTCAGATTTACTTTTTTGCCAGTTCCTAAAGATAATCCCTCGGTGAAATTGCAGGGATGAGTTGGACTTGTATGCCAATGTCGTTCACGTAAAGTCCCTTGATGGCATTAATGTCCGGCATAAGAACATCGACATGGTGGTTATCCGTGAGCAGACTGAGGGCGAATACTCGGCCCTGGAGCACGAGAGTGTTGCGGGAGTGGTCGAATGTCTGAAGATCATGACCCGCCAGAAGTGTCGACGCATTGCCAAGTTCGCCTTCGACTATGCCACCAAGCACGGCCGCAAGAAGGTGACAGCAGTGCACAAGGCCAACATCATGAAGCTTGGTGACGGCCTCTTCCTGAAGCAGTGTGAGGAGGTAAGCTCTTTGCATTTCCATTTTTGTAAGCTGACAAAAAATTGGTTGTTTGGTTTACTACATTGGGGTTTTATATTTAGATTTCTTTCAAATTGTAAAGCAGTTGGTTAACTTATTGCGAGATATTTTTAAGAAAAAAAAAATTGATTTTATTATTAAATTTATTCATAAATTTTTCACACATCTCATTACACAATTTATTCAAATCTTGCTCAACTTAATGCACCATTCCCACCCCTTAATACAACAGGTGGCAGCCATGTACCCAAACATCGAGTTCTCCAACATGATTGTGGACAACTGCACCATGCAGATGGTTTCCAATCCACACCAGTTCGACGTCCTGGTGCTGCCCAACCTCTACGGCAACATCATCGATAACCTCGCAGCTGGTCTTGTGGGGGGAGCTGGAGTTGTGGCTGGAGCATCGTATTCTAGCGACTCTGTGGTGTTTGAGCCGGTACGGTCTCAAAGCGATTTCATTGGGGGGAAGGGGAGAACTTTAGTTTTTTTTATTTATTTATTATTATTATTTTTTTTTCCATATATAATTATTAAAGAATGTGTGTGTGTGTGTGTGTTTTTATATGTATATTTGCAAATGTATGTGTATATATTTTTTTCTTTTTTCTTTTTTTTTTGCTTTTCTTTTTCTTTTTTCTTATTCTTATTCTTTTTATTCTTATTCTAAGTCACTCACTTCTTTTTGTAATAATTTAAGGATTGTTACTACCTATTATTGGTAACTTTCCTAATAAAAATAGATTATGAAAGCCAAAGGAAATGTTAATGACAATTATATAATCATTGTTATTATCTTATCACAAAGAGAACTATCAAAGACTTAACCTATAACAAAGATACAACTGTCATATCTTATCATGCGTTTCTAAATTTACCCTCTTCCCATGCTGCATTCCAGGGTGCACGTCACACCTTCAGTGAGGCTGTAGGCAAGAATGTCGCCAACCCAACGGCCATGTTGCTTGCTTCGGCAAACATGCTCAATCACATCAACTTGCAGTACTATGGCGACATGATCAGGTCTTCCGTCGACCGTGTCATTCGAGTTGGGAAGGTAAGGAACTTTGGTCTTATTTTCTTCAGGGGATGGTTGCAGGTAGAGATTCATCTAGAATCAATTTATATTTTACAAAGGTGGAGGAATAGATTCTCAGGGAGGAAGTGTCAGTTTAGGATACCATGATCTTTAGAGTGTACATGGTGAATTTGATATGATATAATGGTCAGTTAGAACTAATTTAAAGTTTCCGAGAGGAGTTGGGTTAGTTTTCTTTAGGAAATTGAAGTGTGCTGATGGTAAGATTGGCTAAATATAGTTGGGTAAGATTTTTATGAGAGATATACACTGCTGTCAGTGGTTGAAGGTTCTAGTCTTGCAAATACTTGTCTTACTTTGGGAGATAAAGATTATTGCAGAAGAAAATGGTACTAAAGGGGATACTGACCTAAATAAAGGAAAAATGGTAGGATATCCTACACTTTTCTTGATCATATGAAGCCACTTTGAACTGGAATCATCTAGGTGATGTAAATATTCAGGATTGATATGGTCCTGAATATTCTGAATGGCAACTCAAAAGCACAGGATGGAGGATGTATCCTTGTCCTTTAAATGGTGCTTGATGTATGCCCAGAGGTTCTCTGGGCATACATTAGATCTGGAGAGTTTCTAGCAATTTTTTAGCAATTTCATATTACAAAAATCAAACCATTTCACTACTAATTTTCCACTATGACATGGTAGCTCTATCTTGGATGAAAATGTCAGCCTCACAAAGTCTTTAAGTTAATCCAGAATAAGTTTAAAATAGCTGCACTGGTTTATACAATTGTTCTAAGGTAAAATCACTAATTTTCCAACCCCATAATATGAAGAACTACCCCTAACCATAAGCAAGTCGAAGTTTTTTAACTTCATGTCTCATGTAACAAGAGTCAGTGGGTCATTGGCGAGGTAGCGATACATTCTCCTTATTTGGTTGTCAGTCACCTCTAAGCTTACCTCATCTGACCACAACAATTTGTGCCACTCATTAATCTTTGTATTAAGATACAAAGCCTGTCTTTTATGACTCTTAGCACTTGTTAGCTATGTAGTCTTGCAACTATGATACACTTGATTTTTTTTTCAAATAGTCTCTTACTGTTTGTTCAATTACTTCTGCAGGTTCCTTTTCTTAATTTCTTGGGTTGTAATACTAAATTGTCTTCAATCTGCCTGAGAATGATATTTAAAGGCCTCTGGCTTACATTTCACTTGGGCCCTGCTGAACTGTGTGGGGGTTGAAGGATCCACTAGTGCAGTATTTTTTTTGTCCAGTGCTGAATACTTCTGAGTGACAGTCCTGTGGTTGCTGCTGTTTATTTGTTAGATTTATTCACATTCACCAACACATACAGCTACAATCTGAGCTTTACTCAGGAGCCTTCCTTGCCCCATAATGGATGGAAAATGAGGTAGAAGTGAGAATGGGTGGCAGTGAAAATTAGGTACTAATCAGGTTGCTAAGTTAAAAGGAAAAAAAATATATATACAGTAATGGTATGGCCGCGAGCCAGGAAAATTCATCCTACACAAAGGCAGCTGGCCCAGTAGTGATGACAAATACCACTATTTCTCCAATTCTCGCAAGTGAGAAGTAAAGAGAGGTGTTAGACTGAAATTTGCAGTAGCTGTAGGTGTGCCGATTTTTCCGTCTTCCACCACCACCAGCAGTGTATATGTTATTGATAGTTCATTAGCCTAATCCTATTATACTATATGAGCTAGGAACAGGTAGGTGATAATAGGATACTTTTATTATTGGTTCTAGATAGAGTACCAAAAAATGGAACTAGCATGACTACAGTATAGCTTCTACAGTATGTAGTTATTCAGCTGTTGCATTTCACTCATTTGATGCTCTTATTTTAAAACTTGTATTCTATTACAGATTCTTAGTTATGAAGCATGCTTCATAGATGACAAACTTAGTTAAAGCTATGCAACTTGTATATAGGTATTGTCGAGTATAGCATACTCCAAGTAAATGGAAGAAAGCACACCAATCCAGGAAATATACATGCAGTTACTAGTTTCATAAATTTGTCTTGTAACATATTGTTGGTATTGACTGTTGCAATGTAACTCTGTGCCATTGCCTTCTGCTGCTGCTTTGCAGCATTACCCTGTCACAAGCACTTTGCTTTGGCTCCATGTTGGCAACCATGTACTAAAGTTCTGTCACAAAGAAAAGATGCTGGAGCCCCCACCACAAAAACCAGCAATCACAGCCTACTTAGGTACATGTATAAACTCTCAACTGTCTCATAATGGTTCTGTATTAGATAGTCTTCTACTACTAGTTTTATACAGCCATTGGAACAAGCAAAAAGAGAAGCCCTGTCTGTATAATTATGAAGTCCACCACAACTTTGGGTTCCTTGAATCTTTTCCTAGCTATAATTCACGGTTTCCTATTTGGCATTTTTACACTTTTTTTTTTACAAGAAAAACTGTAAATGCTACCTTTTTCTTGGTTATATTTTGGTTGCATGAGTTTTAAGAGAATGTGTCCATCACATAAATTCTTTTTTTGTAGTAAAAACAGTTTGCAAAAACACGAGTGAGAAAGGTTCTAGGACCTGTTTCATAGGTAGACTTCAAATAAATAAACTTTTTATCCCTACTCATATAGGCATTCATTTTCAACTGTCACTCTTAAACTCATACTGACTTCAGTTTGTTTACTTCTTGCCCGGCTGTAGGTGAGGACGAAGGATATGGGTGGTTTTGCCACAACCACAGCCTTCGCAAATGCAGTCATCGCCAACCTCCAACCGTGAGAGTGAGGCGTGTAAAGGCCAGAAGAACTTGATATCACAATGACACTAGTATTCATAACAATAGTCAAATGAGGATAGTATTATATTGTATATATCACTGCTACACCTTAGATTATCATATCTGTGAGGGCAGAATTGTGACCGTGAAGCTTGTCTAGAAGTGTGGATGAGCAGTAGCTCCTTTATTTATTAACTAGTGTGGATAATTAGTCTTTGTCACAGCAATAGATTGAGTCGAGTGCATGGCAACTAATATAGTTGAGTTACTGTTACAGAAAAGGCTTTAAAAAAATCTTAGCACACACTTTGAACCAAACAATATCTACCTAAAGTCTTGATCTCTCAATTCTTTGAAATTCCAGACTGTTTTGATGTTTGTTTATAACCTTAAGTGTTTGTGTAGGGTCCATTCAAGATAGCTCCTTTTTTTTTTTTTTAGCAAGAATAGATAACAATTTATATTCCACCATGTAAAAAGGATACATGTTGTTGATCTCATATTTGAGAAAAATGCACTTATTTGCCATAATAGTTTATAGATATTTATCCTTCTATGAACATCTAGTCAAGAATGTACAGTGTGCTGCATGGTTGAAAGACTTAACGAAGGAAAATATAGCAGTAGAATTTTTATTTTCATTAATATTTCCATTTTTATTTTCTTTATCTTTGTTTCTCCTCTGTAACTTGCCCACGAAGACCTAGATCTCAATCCCTCTTTTTGTTTTTAATCCTTCTGCCCCAGGTACGAACCAAGGACTTGGGAGGACACTCTACCACCTTTGACTTTTCTCAGGCCGTCATTTCAAACTTGCGGAATTGAGAGTTAAGAGTGGAGCCAGGTTGGTAATTCATCATCAGACCTTCTTCGGTGTGCAAGAAATCTCAAATTTTATATATGTGTAAATCTATTTAAAGTGTTCATCCCTTGTAAGAATGTTATGCTGTAGGATTTTGAATTTTTATAGCAAATGCAAGGGAGATCTCAGAATGTCATTGTTTATCTCACAAGAGTAATGTGTGGCATACAGAGATTAGTTTTTCTTTTTTTTTACTTGTAGAGAAAGACATTACTCAAGACGAGTCGTTAATTGTCTACCTAACTTACAAAGGATTACGGTTAATTAGCTGTGGTTAATGATACGTGTTTATTTTCGAATGCACTTCTTTGTTACTATTGAAGGTTGCTGATCTATCTTTGTATATTAGACATTAATAGAGGGCAGTTTGTTGTTAATATAATGTAGTGTTGATGTTATCATTACATTTTTATTATTGTTATTTTTTTATTATTATTATCTTCATCGTTATCATTAGCATCAGTTGATAATTTGGATAATGGCTGGACCACGTGAAACACTAATTTTAAATCAATCTAAATGTTTTTTATTTATTTATTTATTTTTTAATAAAGGAGCTGATTTTACTGTTCAGGATTTTGGTTGAACATGTACTGTCTTAGAGATATGATTATCTAT